CCCTGTGCCAGCAAGATTAGCAAAACGTGTTTTCATGAAGGCAGGTGTTCAGGTTTTGATGATGTTGTTCACTTCGAGCCCGACAACGCAATGACTTCATGTGCTCTGGCACCGTTGCCATCCAAGCTGTCTGCCTATCTATCTATGTATCTATCTATCTATCTATCTATCTATCTATCTATCTATCTCTCTCTCTCTCTCTGTCTGTGTGTCTGTCTGTCTGTCTGTCTGTCTGTCTGTCTGTCTGTCTGTCTGTCTGTCTGTCTGTCTGTCTGTCTTTCTGTCTGTCTACCTATATCTATATGTACGCAGGTATATGTATGTATGTGTATATATATATGTATATACGTGTGCATATATATATATATATTGTATGTGTATATATGTATATATGTATGTATGGGTGCACCCCCGGCCACCCGAAAGATGTCACCTCCCTGAAGGACTACAGCAATCTCCTGTATCTGTTCAGCAGCTCAGAACAACTGGCGTGCCGTGTGAAAGAGAACTCGTGGTACAAGCACCTACACAAAAGCTGCAGACATCTACGAATGTAGTCTGCACTCGGGCAAAGTGTGTGTATTCAAATTCCGTGAACAATCACGAAAGTATATACAGGCCCTCGCTTAACACTTTACGCCATGCCGTAACGCGCGGACACAGCGGCACAGGATTATCCGATTTCGCCACCTGCTTGTTAGTGAAGAACAAGGGCAAAACGCATCATGGCCCTTCCTATGCGGATCTGGTGCTGACATGCCGGCGAAGCTCGTTCTTTGCCAAAGCGAACTCAGTTCCCTGCAGGTCCATGGATAGGTTCTAGGCACAACCATGTTCCTCGCTAGGGGCGATTCGGGCGCTACATGTACTGGTATATGGAGATGGAAATAAACGAATAAAACTGAATAAATGAATAAATGAAAATATGTATGTATTTCTATACGAATGTGTTGCTATATATCTATATATACACATACATACATATATATATGTATATGTAGAGAGAGATATTGTGTGTATATATATATATACAGAGAAATAGACAGACAAAGAGAGAGACAGAGAAAGGGAGAGAGAGCGAGACACAGAGAGCGGGAGGCCGTTGAGTGCTATGCCCTGATCGGGTAGCAGAGTCGACTGAGCAGGAACGGAAGCCTGGCAGCGTTCCTCTGAATTTCCAGTATGCCAGCTTCGAGGCAGTGATTCTGTTCACAAAGCTCTGAGGTGTAACAGGCCCTAGCCTTCGCCTTCGCTTCCTTTTCAAGAAACTGATGGACTCACATCGGGCTTATTGCATCCTCGAACAGGTGGCACAGGAGCTGCTGACGAAGCTGAAAGACGGTGGCAGCCGTGAAGAGGAGAGGAAGTTTTTTGGGGGTCAAGGGACAGTACAGGCCGAATCTAGCAGGTTGAATCTGGCGCAAGAGGAAGCGCATAGGCAGTTTTAGCTTCGTGCATGCACCACAGTGCACCAGTCGATCAAAGCATGTCTTATGGCTATGCTGTCATGCCTATCATCGATCCATCCAGTCATACGTTTGTCAAGCAGAAATTGTAACAGTGAAACATGTATGTGAGTGTGACCATTCCCGAATCGGCACTAGGGAGAACAAAAGTTGGGTAAAAAGTGAGAGTTCAGGAAGACTTTGAATTAAGCTTGCAGCGGGCGGGAGCTCTCCCTGAAGGGGGTAGGCCAGACGCCCCCAGCGAGGGGTGCAAACGTACCTGCTGTGCACCTGGGGAGATGGACTCCATCTGGTGGCCACCTAGATTAAGCCCTCACAGGTTTCCCAACGCTGAGGTCGCCGCTACTTTGACGACAGCCACATCTAATCAGAACACCCCACTGTGTGGACGTGTTTACATACATGTGTATACACAGATGTAGATGTATAGGTGTACAGGCATGATGCATTGCCGCGCGATTGCGCACATGAACACACGGGCTGGAAGGTGAGCACAATGCATTACTCATCTCTGGTATATGGGGGTTTCCGAAAGGGGACCCTAATATAGTACCCTAAATAATATGATCCCTATTTTTCGGACCCCAAAATAAGGTACCCCTTATTTTAGGAAACTCCCATATTTGCATCGTGGAAAGCGGACATGGTGAGGTGCAAGTGATCCTCCCACTGGCTTTTCGATGGCAAGATCGGGGAATGGGCCCCGACATCAAAGTGAGTTAGTACGTCCATGGAGTTGGGCACCACTGTGACAATCAACAAAGGATGGAGGAATTCGCACGCAGGGAACAGACTGAGTCGCCGCAGAATCTAAGCTGCAAAGCGCTTGGATTCGAATAGCTTTGCTTTAAGCAATTCGGGATACTTTCTTGTGCGGAAGCGATAGCGCGCTTTGCCTGAACCAAGCCACCTAAATCCGGGCGAGACTTTGCAGGAGGACGACCTTTTCAACGCGCTTCTGGAACCGAAGCCTCGCGCGGTGCCAAAGCAGGCCGTCCGGGGGCTGGGAATCGATGAGCCACCACCTTTGAGCATTTTCCTGGGGTCTGAATGGAGGTGAAACAATATCAGAGTTCCCAACGCGATGAAAAAACACAGTCAACACTACCTGTGGGACTCAGGCACATACAAAGGCCGCATACCAGCACTAGTTTAATGACGACAACAGCTTGACAATCAGTCAGCACTCAGGATGACAATTCTGTCTTCTCGCAGTCGCAGAAGCAACTAAGCCTGTAGATTGCAACGAAATAATGATCACCACTTTAGGATGCCTTCATTATTGAATGTAAGAGCAGACTTTGGAATACCGTAATCGTAGAGTCGTGCAGTCAGCATCCAAGCAGTGCAAGTTCATAAAAGCATGACGGCTTAACAGAGAGAAACGTCACACACTTATCATGCAGTAGTGTCATATTGCAACTGTCCAATACTACTTAAATTTCTCGACCTAGCCATCTACTAGTGCAGTTTCAGCATCAACAGACAAATCCCAGAATCCACAAGATTGCAAACACCATAGTAAAGCAGCAGTAACGCTTTCAACCCACATTGATATGTCCTTTGATGAATAGTTGTCTTGCCAAGCGTAATCCATGTCAGTAGCTAGTAAGAGCAACACGACAATACCACTGCATAGTCAGGTGGTTTGAAGTGATGCAACGGGGCAACCAAAGAATCATTATTGTAGAGGTTACTGAGGTTACAGATCATGTCAGTGAACACAGTCGGTTATCGAAAGCAGAGGAGAGTCGAACCAAGCGAAAGTACACGCTATGACAGTAGCGGATGACTGGCAGACTAAGGTTGTATCAGAATCTGCACATTAACCACTAGTGCGATGATCTGGTTAGTTCCGGTGAGTTTCGTCAAGAAGTATCATAGTATAATAATATCGTAGTACCACAGTATGACATATGACTCAAGACTGGGAAAGGCCTCATTGAACCGTCATATTCCTATCCCTTAGTTAATGCTGCAATTCAGCCCTGGCTGCACTGACAGTCGGCTGCACTCGAGCATAGCACAGCACAGCCACAGAACTAGGTAGCAGGACATCAGCTTCACGGCAACATGATGCGTGAGCGCACACTTCATTAGTGTCATTCACTAGGGACTGTTCGACCACAATTTCGTCGGAGTGGTCGGACAGCTGTCGCCGTAGCTACGAGCTTTCATGACAAAGTGAGATTACCACGTTGTACCGTTGCTTTCCGAATCGTTCTGCCAGCAAGACCAACTGCAAAGTTGCTCTGACTCAGGAGGACTTCCCGCGAGAAGATCCCCTAGGTTCCGGGCAGTGTCCGAGCTGTCGAAGAAGTCTGTTGCCACTCCTCTCAAAACAAGGTCACATGCCCCCACCCATGGGGCCCGGACCGCCAGGCCAGGCGCAAAGCTGCCCAGCCCAGCTTTGTTTTGAACGTCTGTCTTGTTCTGGTCACCACTACGATGGTGGCAGCGCGGTTGAGCTGAGTTGTGGCACCGGCAACAACGTCAACTGTCAAAGTAGCTATTTCGGATCTTCATGGCTTTGAATGGAAGGAATGTCGATGATGTGATGATGATTTTGAGGTTGTCCTTGGTCGAACAAGCTTGGCTGCTCCTAAACCCTAAACCCCAAACCCTAAACCCTAAACCCTCTGGATCTTTCAGGACCTCCTCCTTTTCCGGGCCCCGGAGGATCAGGGCCACCGCCGCTGGGGCCTGACTGAAGTGACAGCTCGAGGGTTTTGGGCCCCCTCTTCAGACCTCATGATAGGGTTTAGGGTTTAGGGTTTAGGGGTTTTGGGCCTCATGATATGTGACGTGGTCCAGAAGTAGTGGTAGTGTAGAGTGCTAACATACGCTCCGCATGACTCCCGAAGCCTGGATCGATGCAGCCATACAGCGGCCTGACAAAGCGACTACATGAAAAATGCAAAGATAGCCTTGACAACACTACCGTAGTGTGACAACACAGGAGGTTCTGTTCACCTCAGCCTTGATCAGCCCTAAACCCAGGCGTAAGCCCCACAAGTAGCTCTGCCTCGGAACCCCGAAGACTCCAAGTATGCAACTAGAACCTACTTAGGGGTCTAAAGTCTATAGATGGTGCCCACTTTGGGCTGTTTGGAGTCTTAGGGAACGAGATGTATGCCTTCATGCACGCAAGGCCTAGCACCGGGGTGAATAAAACCCTGGCATGTTGTCAGGAATTGAGACCTATCAATTAGTTCATGCTTCTGGTGGAGGACTCTGTGCTTGGAGTCAGTGGATGCAACTGAAGGTTCATGTCCTTTTACCATGCGGTAGTTCTTGTCGTAGATACTTTTAAAGAGACTTTACTACTCCTAGTAACCTAGTACACGAATATGAAAAGATCGAAGTTGTGCGCAAGAGCAATGTATCAAAACGTAGAAGTGCAGTTGGATCGTGTAGGATAAAAACTGATAAACTGATCATTGATCGCCATTACTCCGCACTACTCGCTGATACAATCCAACTAAGAAAGGTCAGTGCATGATTAACCATCGCTTCGAATACCAGCATCGCCGATGAGAAGCCCCGCATGCGTTGACAGTCATCAACAAGTCTCATACCAGCAGAATTAGATAGCCAGACACTCCTTAACTCCTAAACCCCCAACCCTAAACCCCCAAACCCTAAACCCTGAACCCCCAACCCTGAATCCCCCAACCCTAACCCCCCCAACCCTAAACACCCTGAACCTTAAACCCGGAATGCAAGAAGTGTCGCACTCCTGGCCTCGCCGAGGCCCGGTCCCCCCATGAGCGGCCCCATGGGCGGCGACTGGAAGGGCAAGGCCCAGCCCTCTCATCCGCTTGGGGAAAGAGGGGTTCCTTTAAAGGGTTCCTTTGAGGGTTCCTTTAAAGGGTTCCTTAAAGGGTTCTATAAGGGCTACTATAAGGGCTACTATAAGGGCTACTAGAAGGGTTTAGGTTTAAACAATCAAGAAGACATAAACTATAGTGTTGGTGGCATTGACGAAGGCACGATCGTCGCAATCGCCTTTAGCACCGTCATCACACGCCATCATAATGATAGTAGTCATCATCATCATCGTCGTCGTCGGTACTGATGATCATGACAGAATTCCAGAATTCTTACAGCAACAGTCTTCCTCACCACAACAATAACGAGCATAAGAGCCCTGTGCCATGCAGAGGATTGGAGAGTCTTTGTTTTGCGTCCTAATGCGCCATTCGGCAGTGGACATAGTCTGAATTCGTCATTGAAGCATTCCTTGCTCTGGCAGGGCGGATTCGGCAAGGGCGGCGGAAAGCCGCGGTCAAAGTGCTTGTCATGAGCTCTGTTTATGAGCACTCCCTGTCTTGGCGGACACCTCTCAGGAAGGGCGGGGGCAAGTTCGGCAAGTTCGGCAAGTTCGATTACGGGCGGTGGTGAGAGCCCTCTTGAAGAAGGACCTCAAGCGTCTGGATTCGCAACTCGAGCCATCGTCTCGCCAAGAGCCGCCCAGAATCTGTACCTGAGCAACACGTACCAGGATCTGCTGGCCATTGTGGTCCAGGTGTTGCACATGGGGCGTGGTACTCGGGAATGCCCCTGCCAGAGCTGTTGAGCTTGGAGGCATGCCACAGCGTTTCGAGGCGAGAGCTGCTGTTCTATCCGTGAGGGGCGGTGATGGCACGTGGGCTTTGTGGTTCAGCTCTCTCAATTTCAGAGATAGCATGAGTCCGGTCCATTCCTTTCTGGATGTTTGTAGAACATTTCCCGTGTCATTGTCTTCGTCGGGGAGCTGCTGCCCTTAGCCACATCAAGAGGATTGCCAGCCTAGCCCTTGCAAAGAGGCGCGAGGCAGCTTACTTCTGCACCGTCCTTGCCATGTCTTGTACACACTTCGGGCAGCGAAGGGCATTTTCCGCAGCTTTGTCTGTTCCCAGCCGCTCAAATAAAGAGAAGATGTGTAGCTGAAGCCCTGCCATGAAGAAGGAGATGCAAAGGCCACTCCTGCAAGAGGAGAAGCGCTCCAACGGGAAGAAAGCCGGCTCCGGTACGCCCCTGTCCACGGCTCTGAACCTCGCGGCCTCTTCCATGGGCACGGGCTTGCTGACATTGCCGCACGCATTTGCATGCTGCGGGCCGGCGCTTTGCATCCTCTTACTCGGAATTCTTGCCCTCACGACGGACGTGACTCTGATTCTGCTTATACGGTTGGGAAGGCATCTGGGAGTCTCAACCTTCGGCTCCTTGATGCAGAAGCTCTTTGGTAAGAACGGCTCGGGCTGCTTTCAGCTGATGCTGATCTCCGTCTTGTTCCTGGCCTTGACAGCCATGCAGCGGGTTGTGCTCGACCTTCTGCCGATCTTCATGGAGGCGATGTGCGGTTTCAGCCACGTGTCGCCCTTGGGGCTGAGTATGATAGTCAATGTGTTCGTGCTGGCTGCCTGCTTTTCGGGGAGCTACCACGCCTTGAGGTTCACCTCAGGTGCGGCCTTGCTTTGCTTGGTGCCCTTCATGGTGGCCCTGGGTCAGGACGCCCTCGCAGACCGCTCCGAGAAGCCTCCCCCACGTCCCGCCTCGGAGGCGGCTTCCATGCAGGGGTTTTTGATGTCTTCGCCGATCCTGGCCTCTGCCCTGGCCGGTGGGCACTTCTCTGTGATGGAGATGGCTGCCGAGCTGAAACCCCAGCACAGGGAGTCCATCTATGGCGTGATTCATGTGGTGTTTTTGGGTGTCCTTCCCATCTGCTATGTTCTCGTCTCTTTGGCCGGGGTCTCGCTCTTCGGTGCAGACACGCCTGAGGACATCTTGGTTGAGTTTCAAGGCAACTCGATCATGGAGCTTGCAAGAGGAGTTCTAAGCTTCACCAATGCGCTTCGCATGCCCCTGATCCTTATGCCGTTGCACAGCCTGGTTTGTGACACCATGGTTCTCTTCACCTCGCGGGATGTGAAGGCTTCTGGTAGCAACGGTGGCAGCAGTCCCCTCTTGAATGTGTGGCGGAACATCGTGGGCATGCCCATCCTGCTCTTCGGGGCGGCATGCCTGGCGCAGTGGCTGAGCACACTTTCGAGCATCCTGGGGCTTCTGGGAGGTACCTGTGGGGTGCTAGGCTGCTTCTGCATTCCAGGTGCAATGTACCTCTGGGTTTGGCGAGCAGAAGGGAGGAGCATCTCTTCAAACTATGCCGTTCTCGCGGCCTTTGCCATTCTCGTTGGATTTGCTGTCGTGGTATCTTGCTGCCTATCCTGGATCTGGTGATGCATCTTGTGCCCTTCACTGAGTGAAGGGTGCACTGGTGCACCTTCAGACCTTGTGCAGCAGGGTGGCGCTAGCTTCTGGAAGTACAACACACTGCCGGGCCATGTTACATGCTTCCGTATAGATTACTACACTGTTCGTTCTGCTTACTATCTAGTCAGAATCTAGTCTACTGCAGTAGTATGGTTCACTAGTTTCACCGCAGTCTAGCATAGTATAGTCTAGTCACTAAGTCCAGTCTCGTATCGTATCATGTCGTAGAGTAGGGTAATGTGTACTACGCTAGACTATGTTATACGCGACTGGACTAGAGTGGACTATACTACGCTACGTTATAGTGTACTATACTACACTACAACTCCCAGGCCTTGCTTGTCTCTGCATTCCTCGAAGCTTGGATCATCCCCGCCCGAACCTGTGATCTCAAGGGGAGTTGTAGCCTGTTGGGCTGGCTTTTGCCCGGCGCGCCGCCAGATGACAAAGCTTTCAGCAAAGGCACCGGCAAAGTCTGTGGGAGTCTTGGGGCCAAGCTGTTGAAGCTCATTTTGAAGGCGCGAGCCCGGCTGGCCAGCCTGGCCATCAGCCTGTCCTTCTGGCTCGGAGGCAAGGCAGCGCGGTCCGTCATATTTGTAGTCTCCGTTGGCCATGAAGCTCCCGAAGGCGTGAGCCTCGTTGGTATCAAATGCCGGAGCCTTGCAATCGAGGTTGAGGTAGTTGATTTGAGCTATGCTGCTGATGCTGCTTTTCACTTCACTTCAGGTGTTGCCTACTTCATGTCCGGGAGTGAGCTGATTAAAGCCTCCGTGTTTGAATCCCTCGGTGATGTCATGAGCAGTGCGATTTTAGCTGTGACACAGATGAAAGTTCGGGATCAGAGTGACATGCACCTGTACCCGACGGGCAAGAAGCGTTTCACTCCTCTCGGCATCCTCTTCTTCTCGGCTTTCGCCGTGTCGACGATGATCAGCCTTATCATTGAGAATGTCGAGAAGCTCTTCGGGCCCGAGCCTCAGATGCCCCGAAGCTCCTCGAAGTGCGAAGCTAGACCGTGAATTTGGGGTACTTCTCCCAGGAGTTCCGAGGAGGAGGCGCGCAAGGGCCCTATGGCAGACTATGGCACACTGATAGTCAGATTCAGGAGTCGTGAACACCTCATGGCGAATGCTCGGCTCGTGCCCTGCCTACGCTCGGCCAAGCAGCAGATCAAAGTTTCCCGCAAAACATGGGACCCTTCGCAGACCGTAAGGGAGCCCGAAGTTTGCTCCAAAAGCTTCATCATACCGACACTGCTATGTGAGAGGAGCGCAGGGAGCTGCTGACACGTCTCTTCGATGAGCAGCCCAGGCCGTTTGTGACGGAGTACGTAGGATGGGATCCTTCTCATACCCCAAGCCCGACACCCTGGCCCGAAGCCCTAAACCGTCGAGGGCGAAGCAGAGTGATGGCTCTTGGCACGGCTATGTAGAGCCTTTGAGCGCGGTTGCAATCTTCGGTCAGAGCTTCCGTCCCACCATGCCGGTAGTTCACCCCTTACATGGCTGGTGGGCGCACCACAAGATAGACATTATGGGCAGATCATCTCTGCATTTACCTCTTACCTCGTCCAACCTCGTCCATGTTCATCTTCATGCCCAGCTCCCGTCGCGGAGGTTGCGCCAGCACCTGCGTTCGACCCAGCTGGAGGAGATGATTGAGAGCTACGTCGAGGAGGAGCTCCCAATCGCCTGGTGTAGAATATTCCCGGCCTCAGATCACCTAAGCCCTAAGCCCTAAACCCTGCTTGGGAGACGCATCGCTGCAGACACCAAAAGGGCTTTCAAAAAGAAATAAAACCCTCAACCCCAGGAACACAGACCCCACCGTTCCAGGAGGCCGCTGCAGAAGCGGCACCGCACTCCCTGGTAGTGCTGCTCTTTATCTGCATCCTTATCAAGGCCCTTCTTTGCAAGTGTGCTCCCCCTTCTAGTATAATAGCTGTCTCTCGCTGTCTGTGTGTCTGCTTGTCGGTCTATCTGATCATCGGAAACGGGAGGGAGGAGTGAGGGCGAGAAAGACGAGCACCGTATTCTCTTGGTGCGCGCGACTCTGAGGCAGATCCTAATAATTTGACTCGAGTTTCTTGGGGTTAGAAACCTAAGCACTAAACCTAAACACTAAACACTAAACCTCTAGACCGAAAGAATTCAACCCTCAGGGGAAGGGAGATCCCGGTCGCCAGGCCTTTCTCCTGATCTTCTGCCTCTACGCAGCGAGGCGGGTCCGAGTTGTGGGGAAAAAAGGGACCGATTCTCTTCGTGAAGGAAAGGGAAGTATAAGGTTACTACAAGGGCACCATAGGGGTACTACAGGGGCACCATAGGGGTACTACAAGGGTACCATAGAGGTACTGCAAGGGTGCTACAAGGGTGCTGCAGGGTATGAAGGTGGTAGTAGGTTCGGCCCGTGAAGCCGGATTGTTTGACAGGCAAGCAGACTCCGAGATCGCGCGAACAGTGTCCATGGACCACCGGAACGATGCCGGGGCCTCAAATCAATGTCTCGTCCAGTACGCCACTCAAGCAGCTTCTGCCAAGATCTTGGGGAACGGGCTGGTGCTGCTGATCGTGGCCGGCAGCGCGTATTGCAGAAGTACCGGACAGGGCGGCGACTGGCTTGACAAGGTTCGCGGACACTGCCTGTCACTGATCTATTCCGGTAATCGCCCCTAAACCCTAAACCCTAAACCCTAAACCCTAAACCCTAAACCCTAAACCCTAAACCCTAAACCCTAAACCCTAGCCTTGCCCAAAGCCCTTTTTTTTTCCTTTTTTTTTGAGGTGGATCCGGCCTCTTCCATGTTGTTGGCCGTCTACGTCCTCGTCTGCTGGATGTCGACGGCGGTGGAGCAGCTCCGAGTTCTCTCAGATAAGCGTGGCTTGGACCTTTTTGAAACTCAGGGGTAGGAGCTCTAGAGACTCCGACTCCTATAGGGCTCCGCAGTGACCGGAGCTGCTCGTTAGAAGCACTGCACTTGCTCCTCTCCATTCCGGTGGCTTCGAGAACTGTGAGTGTGCTTGTTTGTAGAATCAAGGAGCAGAGGAGGAACACACGGAAGCCGTCGTCAAATTCACGCAAGAGCGACTGACAAACAGTGGTTTCGCCCTCACCAAGGCAAGGCTTGAAACTGCAATTTCAATTTCGTTGCCCAAGAGAGAGTCTCTTGTTTGCACAGGCATCCACCTTTCATGTTGGCGAAGGGTACGCTGTCATACTGGATCTCACGGCCAAGGACGCTCACAGGGATCCCGACGCGACCACGTGACTCTGAACGACACATCCATTGTGGCCATGAGCTGCAAGCCTCAGCCCCGTATCCTTGCAGGAGAGCGTGAAGATGAGCGCGACGGAGATTGCAGTCTTCTTGGAGGGACTCGAGCAAGCAGTGAAGAGCGCAGACTTGGAGGCCGGGCTGGGGGGGAGCTGCAGTTGCGACCCGACACGACCCCACGCCCATTTTATGCAGAGCATGAGTCCATGTGGGGATTTTTGTATATCAGGCTATGGAAGTACACGCCAAGCTGCGCACACTGGACAAATCGAATAGTTCTGACAGTATGGCCTGGGTGACAGAGTACAGATGACGGAGCCTGAGAGGCCCTGCAGCAGCGTTTAAACTCAGTCTGTTGTCCCGGAGCCTGTGCTCAGAAGCAAGACGATTTCCGAGCTGCGGGCATCCTGCTCGTCGCTGATGCAGCGAATGTATAACCCTAGTCTGCGCAGCGAGCGCAGTGCGAGCGCGCAGCTGTTGCTGTTTTTTCTGGAGCCGGGCACCGCATGGTTGCTTACACTGCTTAGACATGGGAAGTATTGTGGCTTCGAGCCTGCATCTAAGAGACGAGAAAGGCAGAGCCAGCTGATGCGGACGAGCAGAGCAATCAGCATAGACAACCATCGCAGTCTATGTCTCGCATGCTTGGCTGCTCAGGATAGCATGTCCCTGTTCATGGTTGCAATGGTTGCAGCAAGCGTTTATGCAGAGACACCGGAAGATTTGATTACATTGTCAGCCAAGTGCACTCGCCAAGGGCGTTTCCCTGTTGTACCTCGTTAGTGACAGCCATGTGCCCGGCGATAGGCAGGGCAGGAAGGGCGACATCTTTTGGTGGGGACCGGGGAATGCAGAGATATTAGTTGTTAGTCTTCCTACCAGTTGCCTTTGTTGGGTGTCCAAGAAGGCCGGTGTAGGAGATGCTTCCCTGCCAATCAGCATGCTCCTGCACAGGAAGCCTAGGACAAGATTGCCAGGATGCCGACAGAGGGGTTAAAGCTTCATGATCCAAGCTTCCCGTTTCTGCATGCCGGGAGGTGATGGCTGCCACTGAGCGCTATGGAGTTTCGGAGTGAGGACTCAGTGAGGCACCGGACCGCTCTTTTTTCTGACCCAGTTGTGCACTCTCGTCTGCCCAGGGAGACTCGAAAGAATCGAGGCAATGTGGCCAATATGGCCACTCGGTTGCCCTTTGGCCTGCCGATGCAGCAGAAGAGGCCGTCCGTGTTATGAAGCAATCAATACGGCCCGGCAAGCTGCCAGCTAACCAAGTGGGCAGGAGCAGCAACCAAATGTTACAAATCTGCAGGGAGTAGCCATTCAGGTGCCCATCCGTTGTAGTTGGTAGAAGGTCCAACACGACACTTTTCTGCAAATTCAAACCTCTGACTTCGCTTGCTGATCTGCGCAAAGAGCAAGGTTGCGGGGCCGTAAACCCAAAACCCGATCCTAAACTCTAAACCCTAAGCCCCAAACCCTAGATGCACAGAAGAGGGGCAATGCACTTTAAAAGAACACCCCAAATGCAAAAACCCCAAGAGTGTAGACCCTGCTCACCACCCCCTCTCAAATCTAAACCCTAAACCCTAAACCCTAAACCCTAAACCCTAAACCCTAAACCCTAGTGCTCCCCTGGCCCCTCCTGCCCGGAACAAGCTCCAGCCCTGGCCCTGTCCCCCTTTAAAGGGATCTATAAAAGTATCTATAGGGTTGCTAT